GTATTTTAAGTTAGCGAAAGTCCAAATAACTGTCCATTCCTGGAAAATAATGGGCGTCGGCTCTACGGGCCTCAGCTCCCTTATTTCCGAGGAATGGACAGTTATTTGGACTTTCTCTATAACTGAATGTTTAGTCTAGCCTCTAACTTGGGTATCGATAAGAAATATCTGCACATTCAAATGTGAACACCATCTCCAAGTTAATGAAACAGCAATGGGAACAAAGATGGCCAATGTTTTTATGGCCAAATTAGAAAACCATATTACCAATACTTCACTTTATCGAACTCGCTTGGTTCGGATTCATTGACGATATTGACAGGAATTGAGATAACACTGAAAAAAAATTCAATCAGTTGATTCAGCAAGCAAACAACGCCCATCTCTCAATACCATTTACTTATGAAATCTCTTTAAGACCACGTTCCTTGAAACTGCCAAACAAGTGAAGAATGGAATCATTTCTACAGATCTGTATTGTTAGCGAACAGACATTTTTGCAAACATCAATATATTTCTCACATGAGCACTGCACTAAGAGCATTCCTGACAGCCAGACCATCATTATAAAGCAGATTTTCTACCATAACAAGACAACTGTGGTCAAATTTATGATCAGGACTTTCAAGCAAAACAGTAAAAGTAAAGTTCAAGGATAAGTTAATATTGATATTAAAAGACGTCCGAACAAAAACGAATGATCGGGTTAATATGAACAGCTATTTTTGTGAGAAGGTTTTTTAATATCAATATTTTTTTAATTCCAACTTTTCAAAATATTGATTTTTATATTATAAATGAGTAAATTAAAACCCTATACAGACCTCTTTAACAACTGACCAATGTTCTGCACAAGAACTTGTTGTTATATATATTTGATATTCTAATCTGTCGGTAATCATGTCATGAAGTAGATTCGTGAAGACCAGACCATATGAATACAGTTAGTAAATCTCCTCCAATATATAGTTATTTCAATAGCTTCTTACACAATTTCTAATCGAACAGACCTAGATGAATAAGGTCTTTCCGAGTATTCAGGTAAATGTACATTTTTACGGAGCCCCGGAAGTGACATTTTGTAAACCGGAAGTATCTTCTTATCTTTTTTTTTTAGCTCACCAGGCCCAAAGGGTCATCACTTGGCGTCCGTCGTCCGTCGTCGTCGTCGTCCGTCGTCGTCGTCGTCCGTCGTCCGTCGTCGTCCGTCGTCCGTCGTCGTCCGTCGTCGTTAAATTTTACAAAAATCTTCTCCTCTGAAACTACTGGGCCAAATTTGACCAAACTTAGCCACAATCATCATTAGGGTATCTAGTTTAAAAAATGTGTCCGGTGACCCGGCCAACCAACCAAGATGGCCGCCATGGCTAAAAATATAACATAGGGGGTAAAATGTAGATTTTGGCTTATATCTCTGAAACCAAAGCATTTAGAGCAAATCTGACGGAGTAAAATTGTTTATCAGGTCAAGATCTATTTGCCCTGAAATTTTCAGACCAATCAGGCAACACGTTGTTGGGTTGCTGCCCCTGAATTGGTAATTTTAAGGAAATTTTGCCGTTTTTGGTTATTATCTTGACTATTATTATAGATAGAGATAAACTGTAAACAGCAATAATGTTCAGCAAAGTAAGATCTACAAATAAGTCAACTTGACCAAAATGGTCAGTTGACCCCTTAAGGAGTTATTGCCCTTTATAGTCAATTTTTAACCATTTTTCGTAAATTTTTGTAATCTTTTACAAAAATCTTCTCCTCTGAAACTACTAAGACAAATTTAACCAAACTTGTCCTCAATCATCATTAGGGTATCTAGTTTAAAAAATGTGTCCGATGACCCCCCCCCCCCCCCCCCCCCCCCCCGCAAACCAATATGGCCGACATGGCTAAAAAATAGTACATAGAGTAAAATGCAGTTTTTGGCTCATATCTCTGAAATCAAAGCATTTAGAGCAAAGTTGACAGGATAAAATTGTTCATTAGGTCACTATCTGCCCTGAAATTTTCAGACCAATCAGGCAACACGTTGTTGGGTTGCTGCCCCTGAATTGGTAATTTTAAGAAAATTTTGCAGCTTTTGGTTATTATCTTGAATATTATTATAGATAGAGATAAACTGTAAACAGCAATAATGTACAGCAAAGTAAGATCTACAAATAAGACTCATGACCAAAATTGTCAATTGACCCCTTAAGGAGTTATTGCCCTTTATAGTCAATTTTTTACAATTTTCATACATTTTGTAAGTTTTTGTAAATTTTTACAAAATATTTTCCACTGTAACTACTGGGCCAAGTTCATTATAGATAGAAATAATTGTAAGCAGCAAGAATGTTCAGTAAAGTAAGATCTACAAACACATCACCATCACCAAAACACAATTTTGTCATGAATCCATCTGTGTCCTTTGTTTAATATGCACATAGACCAAGGTGAGCGACACAGGCTCTTTAGAGCCTCTAGTTTAGCAATAGTACATAGAAATCATATATACTTTGCAAAAAAAGAAACGCACAATGGGTTTTTAAGAATTTTAGTACATGTATTTCGAAAAGGAAATTTTACAATTACTAATAAAGATATTCACTCAAAACCTGTTTGATTGAGAAGAGGACAGTCAGTTCGAGATTGATGAATTTATCACAATTAGAGTTGCTTCTGGTGCCATTAAAGTAAGTACCGTATATGACCACCTCTCGCTGCTAAGATTGCTTTGCATCTCCTCGGTATGGATGCTATGAATGTTCTAATGTTGTTGTGTGGAATTTCTTTTTTTGAACAGTATATTTTTGGAATCAGTGTAAATTATTCTATTACCTAACATCAAAATTTACATTTTAAACCAAAAGTGAATATATTTGTATCAAAACATGTGCATTTGGGGTGGAAAGACATTTAATTGTTCTATTACTATTTATAATTCATTTATCGATATTCATAATTCATTAATTAATAATTATAATTCATTTATTAATATTTATAAGTCACTTACTAATATTTATAAAGATGAAATGAATTATTGATATTTATAAATGAATTGTACATATTAATAAAAGAATTCGGAATGTTTATAATTATTTATAAATATTAATAAATCAGCCTTTTTATCTACTTTCAAATTGGCTTGCTTCAAGTTGTGCGTATAACTTAAAAAGTTGTGCACACAATATTAAAAGTTGTGCGCACAAGATTAAAAGTTGTGCGCACAATTTTTAATCTTGTGCGCACAACTTTTTTCAAGCTTACGTCCAGTGGCAAATATTTTTCTACCTTACGTCCAGTGGCAAATATTACATGCATGTTCATGACGAGAACACATCAATGTTAAATACATTAGATATTTCTTGCAATAGGAGGTCGACTGTGAGGTTGAACGGGGAACTTCTAAGGCCATTGGAAAATGAGGGTATCTTGGAATTAGTATACCAATATACTAGGATCGTGCTCGCTTCGAGTGCAGAATTTCGTTAGTTTGAACCCCGACCGGATCAAACAAAGACGTTTACATTGGAATTGGCTGTTTCAACGTTAAACACGTGGCATTAAGGAAAAAGAGCAAAGACTGGTTGACTCTGAGTCAGAAATGTGTTCGGGTAAGTCTACTTTTCTGCGAACTGTTACCTTGTGACCTAGCATGTTAAAAATCCGTCTCAGCTTGTCGGTCTAGTACAAAGAAGGGTAAATATTCATATTACATTGTCTGTTTGAATGAACCTAGCTAACAATTTCTAAACAGAGTAGTCTTAGGAGAAATTAGAGTCCGCTTTCCATGAATATACATTTTGACTGAAATGCACGTTGTATCAATGCTGAAACTAAGGATATTTAAGACCATGATTGTAATTAATGATTTTGACACAAAAGGAATGCCGTTTTTTGGCCTTTAAAAACTTGAGCTTGCTTTTGAACGACTGAATACCAAACAACGACCTAGAGTTATTGCAAACGCAATAGACTGTGTTGTCAGCACTGTTAAAAGTTTGCTGGAAGTAACAACCTGACAAACAACACATAGTACCGTCCTAACAACACGACAAACAGCAGACATTACCGTCATATGAACTAATACAATGTCATTTAAGGGTAGAAATATCATTCACCAACACTTGCAAAATAGATTTGCAAGATCAAATCAAACTACACAACATATTATTGGAAATCATCAGCGACCATTACCAGCAGATATTGTTTGGCGTCGCCTAGACAACAACTGAACGATATTTCGACTTCAAAACAGGGTCATGTAAAAACAGCTCGTCACATAGAAATAGATTGCAATAAGCTTTGCACGTCCAGAAGATCAGTAATTTCGAACTATCATCTTCTCATATGAAAGCAGATATTGCATTTAAACAGCAGATGACAGGACAAGATCCTGGCGACGACACGGCGAACGATATGCTGACTACTGCATGATATAGAGGTTGCTGCATCGGGAGGTCAAAGTGTTATGGTTTGGGGAGACATGTGATTTAACCAGGAACTTGGAGCTACTGTCTTCCAGAACATTTGATCAGACGGAGGCTTCTAATTATATAGACCAAAATTGGCGACCACATTTTGTGCGTCACAAGAACCACACGTCCCAACATGACAACACAAGAGACTTTTGCAGCATACACACGCTACTTTCATGCAATGGCCTTGTCTAAGAATGAACTTCAAAAAAGTCTGAATGAAGAACAGCTAAAACCGAAACCTGCAGCTGAACTAACTAGACAATTGTCTTCAGAGTGTAAGTCGTTATTCCAATGATATTTATCAACCGTTAAATGCATTCCTTGCAAAGGAGATACGTCATCGTCATCATTGCGTGTGCAATAAACATTCCAAAAACATTTTACCTACACCATAAATTATGCACTTAAGTTGATGTGAAATGATTTTGTTTTAAAAAATTCAAAAGTTAACATAAATGTGTGTGATACTCTGATCTTGTACGACGTACTTTTGCGATTCAGTATATTTAGATACGTAATGTTACTATGATATATTCTTACCATTAGAGAATTCGTGAGGGAACAGGAAAAAAAGAATGAATGGAACTGCGTCCATTACTCCAAATACATCATATCAAACTTCCTTGTCGATCACATAGAGATATAAATATATTTTGTGTGTGTTATGTGTATTCACCGTAACGTATATATACCTGTTTAAATCCATGGAGTATTGGGGTTTTAATTCATTTGAGGTATATGTCAAGGACGTCATTCGGTTAACCGAGTGCTCAGTCCGTTGACCTACGTTTGTATGAAGTACAAAGGAGAAAGTCCATTGATCGAGTTGCATTGGCTATTTGCCTGCGTTTCACAAGGAATCTTACGACTAAGACTAAAATTGAACGTAAGTATATCGAAATATTCAGGACTTACGCTTAATTTTAGTCGTAAGATATTTTGTGAATCGAGGGCCTGGTCCATAAAGAATAATTTGTAAAAATATTGCTACTTTTTTAAACTTTTTAAATTTTCTAGTATTCATATTTTTTCCCAAATAGTATTGATTATCTAGCTAAAGGATTCATTATTACACACAGATCAACAGTAAATTTAAGTGTTAAATGTGTGTAAATTACTGAATAAAACTGAAAGACAAAATAGTCTTCGTCCAATCTTCATCATTCAGTGTCCTTAAAAAAAACTGTTGTGTAATGTATATCAACCCTATAATTCGATTTGAAGTTAAGGCATAAACTGTGCTATAACTAAACAGGTTGGAACGCATTTTTTGCCTTTCTAAAGATTTTTCAGCTAGGGCAAAAATAAATAGTTCAAAATAAAACATGGTATTTTTTATTTGCAAAAGCAGTGAATTTTGGTTCTAATTGCCAAACCGCAGTCGCTTCAAACATTGAATGAATACTTGTAACACTTGATTGATGTTACCTTTAACTGCCAAAAGACCGATTTGGCCGATTTATATGTGCTTCAACTGCCAATGGCCGATGTCAAATGTTAACAAAATATAACATTGAGTTCAGATGTGAATTAAGGCATACCATAATAACATTCTGTCAATGTTCTTTCAATCTCTCCCAATTATTATCTTTTCATGACATCATTAGGCGGTCGCATTGCATTTGCGCTAATTTTTACTAAATCCAATCTTTCATTTGCGCCAATTTTTACTCAATCCAATCTTTCATTTGCGCCACAAGGTTACTTCTGAAAGTGGCGTTCTAATCATCAACAATCAATTAGTAATCAATCCATCTACAGATTTCAAATTGTCAAAAGAAAAAGTTTACAAGCATTATCGTTAATTGACAAAAAAGAAAAAAAAAACATTAGTGAAAACCCATTGCTAAATCATAATAAACAAAAAGATATGCATATTACCACAAAAAGACGGAAATGTGAAAACTACTTTACTAACATCGATCTCTTACGACATAGAAAGCATAAAAAATGATATAATTAGAAATAAGAGGAAATTGAAAGAAATGCAGTGAAAGGAGTATCCAAAATTAGGAAAAATCAATTCAATATTTAATTCATAGTAAACACAAAATTTTTACATTTGGAAATTAATGTATGCATTTATTAATGCGAACTGTTAGCAAAAGGAAATTATTCACTTAAAGTTACATTAGTAAAACATATGCATTATTTTTTGCCAAACTGAAATAGACATAGACATAGAAAACTTTATTTTGATTCGACAGAGCATAAAACATACAAACATAAGCTCTGGTCTTGCGGTCATAAAAATGTCGAGTACGATTATCGTGCTCAGAATCAGAATTCAACCAACCAAAATACTGGATTTGGTGTTTCGGGCACAACTTATTTACTCCGAGCACTGAGTAAAGTTTTAATGACCGAGAGCCCTGGTGAGAGTTTTATCGAATATAAAAACATATACAAAACATATAAATTTATTGCTATTCCGTTATATTTGGATCTTCCCTTTTCTATTTCTATCTTTAGACTGTGGATCTAGTTTGCAGTGTATATAACGTGCGAATCCTGAAATGCCATTTTTACTGTATCCGTGATGCATTTCTAATGTAGAATGATAAATAGACAGACGACAAATTCATGATTTTTGAATAAAATAAGAAACAATATATAATGTGTACTGTTTTTATAAATTCATGATATAGGTATGAGATGCCGACGGGTTTTCATCGCAGCCATCCAGGTGTAAAATTGATACACAAATAGATAAATATTAAGAATAGTTCACGAACAGAGCGTGCAAGAGATTTAAAAGTAGCAGTTAAGTTTCATTTGCTGAAAAATGTTCCCTTTAACATAATTATTAATGTTGTATAACTTAAAACAGGTTTTGTTATTCAGCTTGTTTATATTGAATCAAATTCCCATATGCTGTTTTCGTTATGCGATTCAAGTTTACTGTCGAATAATGATACTAAACTTTCATTTTCACTGTAGGGGCGATTCATTTCTATTGTACATTAATTAATTTTCATCATATAAAGTCTTAATTCAGCCGACTCTCTTACAAAATTTATGAAGTCAGAAGGATTGATTATATATGCATACTTAGTGAGTGAAAGTCTGAGGTAATATATCAGTAAATGCCGTAAAAATGGCATTTATTGCTAATATAGTCAATTCTATTTTCTCTAATAATTTGTCCAGATCAAGATCTATATGTAGGATAAAATTTATCCTTTCCTATGACACGCCATCAATGAATACTAGTACATATATCTTGGACAGTTAAGCCAATCCACGTCACCTAAAAAGCAAAGTTTTCGGTTTCGGTCAAAATCTACATACCATACTAATAAAACGTCAGAAGAGCTATTTTCCTAATGCTTGTAGTTTAAAGGTGTGGTTGGCTTGCTTTCTTTGTTTGTATAAATGTTTGCTTTAATATTGTAATTAAGATAGAGCAAACATTTATACAAAAAAAGCAAGCAAGCCAACCAAACCTTTAAACTACTGTCACGAAATAGAATTTCCTTCATAATATAAGTTCCAAATGGAATAAATATTCTGGAATATTATTTCCACTGGAATAAATATTACAGTATATGTTCCTAACGGAATAAATGGTATAGAATATTTGTTCCATCAGGAACAGATTCATGACATTGTTTATAACAAAGTTTCCAGTGGAACTTCTGTAAGGTGGAACAAATGTATGTTGACACTACAAGCATTAGGAGAATAGCTCTAATGGGTGCATCTTTAATAGATAACAAAGAGCAGTCACAAAACGATCTTCATTTCACGATTGAGTGAGTAGTAACGTTTTTATCTCGCAAAACAATTGTCTTACAATTGACGCTTGGATGACTGGATAATTGATATTTATTATGCCATTGTGTATACATCTTACACAGTAAAGAAAGTTCGAGCAACAATCGAGTCACTTTAATTTATGTTTGAATTTCTTATAAATCGTTGTTACAAATAAGCAAATACGTAAATGTAAGAATACTAAGGATATATTGAATACAGTTTATTGTTACATGTTTAAATGGTTCTATACCACGAGGTATAAGCGCCGTACAATTGATTCCGGACGTAATCGCTGCATTGCGAAGCGATTTTCGTAGATAGACCGTCCTAATATTTTCACAAAAGACTAATTGACGAACTGTTCAGTTAAGTATTCAATGTTTATGAAAACAAAGTTTACTGCTCCTGACAGCATTGTATATTATTTATATTACATGAACACCCTGTGAATATTTTAAACAGACAGTATATATAAAAAAGAAGATGTGGTATGATTACCAATGAGACAACTCTTCACAAGAGACCAAATTACACAGAAATTCACAACTCTGGGTCACCGTACGGCCTTCAACTATGAGCAAAGCCCATACCGCATAGTCAGCTATAAAAGGCCCCGAAATGACAAATGTAAAACAAGTCTGTGAATTACTTGTTAAACACTCTACTCAAACTTGATTAAACTACAAACAGAGCATATAGTTGGTTGGCTCTTACACCAAATGCGACCGTGTATTTTGTGATTTGTTGTTGTTTAAAATACATAATGCGAATGAGAAACCCGTTGTTTTAATTTTTTTGCAGACATTTACTTGAAAAACTGACCTCAGAATTTTGGCACTGTACGATTCATTCTCTTTGTAGTTTGTTTTCTTTCATTAGTACCGTTCGTTGTACATTCTTGTACTGTTCTTTGTGCAAAAGCCTATCAATATGGCAGAAATATGTATGAAACGGCGTGACAAATTTTCAAAGCGTTTTTAAGCAAGTACTTAAACTTTTCAAGGACAATTCGCCATAAAAATACGTTATATTCATGGAGGTTCTGCTCCAGTAAATTTTCGGATCCATGACACACTAACAGCAAACTCACCAAAAATATTTGAATATGCATGATATATACGGGATGTGACGCATATCACCCTGACCTTAGTGTGAGCTAGAACTTTGACCTCAAGATCAATATACTGGATTTCTAAGAAACTGGATTGCAATCAGGCGCTCCCAATGAGTGGGCTTCTCTAGCTCCAGTAAGTTCTGTTTCACGTCAAACAAATACAAAATTCAGGTTGTTTTACTTTCAATATGAAATGTTAGAAATGTCAAATAGTTTTAGTAGTTGCAAATGCTTGCTAACAAAAAAATAAAAGATAGGCATTTCAATAGAAACAGCTAATTAAGTTCTCGATGTTTTACTTACGAACGGTACAGAACTATGACGAGAACATGCAACGAACGCAAACAAAAATAGACGAACGGTACACAACGCACAATGTCCGGAATCAACCATACGTTGGTTATACCCGTGTATATTTAAGTAAGCATCTACGACTAGCTTGCATTTCATATTGTAAATATCATCAGTATAAAAGTCATTTAAAGACTATTTCAATTGTTGCATATCGAATTATCATATAAAACAACAATGAAAATTCATCGCACCTCCAAAAATTCCACATCAGAAATGATTAATTGCACTTACAGTGATAATGCATCGCATTTATAGTTAAAATGAATCGCATTCGGTAAACAATATTATGGATTCATCTGCTTTAATTACACTTTTTTGGACTTTAATCCTGTTATTATACATTAAAAAGTTATATTCTAATGAAATTGTGTTAAAACATACATTCAAATCAA